TTAAGTTATACATTACATCTAGTTAAGACGGGGATTTTATTCACTATACCTTAGCATATTTACAAGTTTCCATCGTTGGAGGATATTTTAATATTTAGTCATTAAAGGAGTTTTCGCCTTCATTTATAGTGGTCCCCACCCCCTTCTAGTTAAAATATCTTAAAAACTATTTAAGTCATAAAAATATAAAATAGCATCTTAGATAGCTAAGACAAAACTGCACAGATTACATATAAGTCGTTAGGGATGTGGATAAAGATTTTAATTATTACTCTGGATTAGTCCCCAGAGTTAGGCATTTTATCCCAGGAAACTGGCCAGAAGGCAAAACTTAGACCGACTCGGTTTAGGTGTGACGTAGGGGCTCTCTGATATGTCCGCGCACGGTTTTAAAAAGGGGAGCACACGAGGTAGGGGTGATTTCGAGCTTTGGTCAGCATACCTGCAGTGTGCCTTTGTTCAGTGCGGCCCATTGGAACGCTCTATATTGTCCTTTTTCTTTCTCTTCTTCTTTCCCTTTTTCTTCTCCATAGTTCATAGTGTACTTTTTCCTCATAGCATTAATTAAAAAGCTATAGTCCTCAAGACCTGATTGTTTTATTGGGATTTCATTTAAACTGTAAGCTACGTCATCCACGCGGCTACAGTTTTTGGCGTCGTCGGCAGGATCAAATTGAGGATAGCTTTTTTAGAATCCAATTTAGAACTTTAGAGGAAAAAGGACAATATAGATCAACCAATGGAGCCCGCGTTGAAAACAGAGCAAGGCCGGTCATTCGAATCGCGGCTCATTGAGGAACTCTGTACGCTGTACCACATAAAAAAATCTCATACTACTCCATATCATCCACAAGGGAACGGTCAGTGTGAGCGGGTTAACAGGACGCTACACAATCTCCTCCGCTCATTACCACCTGAGAGGAAACGACAGTGGCCAACTTCCCTACCTGATTTAGTACAGGCGTACAATAATACTCCTCACGCTTCTACAGGGTTCGCTCCCTATTTTCTCCTTTTTGGCAGAGCCCCTCGCCTCCCCATCGACGAACTGTTGCTTCGACCGACAGGTGCAGATGTCGCACCAACAGGCATCGACTGGGTGAGACAGCATCGCCACCGGTTAATGGAGACACACCGCCTCGCACTTGACCACCTGCAACGTGAAGCTGCCAAACGGATCGCTTTCACTGACCCGAACGCCCGCGATCATCCACTGTCTGTCGGTGATTATGTATATGTTAGAAATCGGGTGGTAGGCCGGAACAAGATTCAGGATTTCTGGCAGCCTGATCTATACTGCATTACGGCCCGACTACCTGGTAAACATGTCTATAGGCTTCTCCCTTTAGCGGGAGGGACCGAGAAAACAGTCAATAGAAAGGACCTTCTAGTAGCCAAAGCACCACTTTTGGACCTCGTACCAGCTTCAAGTGCCACACCCCCAGAAACAATCGAGTCCAGTGACAGTGACGAGGAGGACCCCGTGATAATAATCAGGACAAAACCGAAAGTGACACTGACGAGTAGTCAACCTAGAACAGTGGCAGAATCACCTCCGCCAATTACGCCACGCAGATCCGTCCGCATTACTCAAAGAGGGAATAAACCCAGAGTAAAGATGGATCTGTAGTCTACTCTCCATCACGATGGAATATCTTTTTTTTTTCTTTTCTGTTATGCCAATGCATTTATACCCTTGTTCATTCGTAGAGTACATTTTTTTCTTCTGGAATGTTAAACTTTTCATGTTCATTTGTAATCAAGTTAAGTAGTGTTTTATAAGTTTATTGATTGTCAATCTCACTTAATGTACCCATTTACAGTGAGCTCACCATTATTAGGTATGCGGCAGAGAGCCTTGCCCCCTAAAGATCCACGTATGCATGCGTCGACCAACACCTATAATTGATATAGTCCTAATAACACATGCTGAACTGCCTCAAGTTTCACATAAACTTAGGCGTATATACCAGTATACAATTAGCGATTGTACATCGTAGTGCTTTTGGTAGACGTACTGCCATGCTACAAGTCTTGGGTCGACCTGGTGCGAGCGCTTGTAACCTCATAAGTAATGTCATTATAGAAAGTACAATGTCGTGACAAGGAAATACTTGTCATACTCAGGGATTGAATTACCCCAAGGTGCTTTTATTGTATTGGAGCACTTACGTTGCTTTTTTTTTTATATGTATATATTTCTATGTACCGTACAATATTTTTTTCAAACATTTCTGTATTTGCTTGTACTTGCTGATTTCCTTTATAGTCGAGCCAGCGAGGGCGCTGGAATTAAAACGTTTGGGGTGGATGTGGCAGTGTATGCCCCAACCCACTATTTGACCCGTTACGTAAACCATGTCTGGCGCCCAACTCAAGGCCGCGCGGTGTGTAGTAGCACTGGCGCGGTGCGTAACAGGTATCCCTTTTCACCTTCCCCCCCCCCCCCCGGACGGTCACTATACGACCGGCGCATAGGGAGGAAATAATAAAATACCACGATGTGCGCATTGGTTAGAAATTCAATAATTTATTTATCAGGAACCCTAGCGTATTAA